GTGACACCAAAGATTTGAGGATAAATGACAGACTACTGCAATAAAATGCGCGTTCAAAAGCTTTGTTTTCGGTTTGATGTCCTCGCAACATCTTAGTTCCAAGGTAGACAGGTACCATGGAAACGTTATTCCAAAAGCGAAGGAGGCTGGCGTGTTACTACAGAGGAAAAATTGATTAACAGTCGTTCAACACAAGTCTTTGTTTATTAATTTATTTGTTTGTTTATTTGTCTGTTTCGGGGGCTTGAAGTTTTCGCAACAGCCATGGACACATGAAGACGGGCAGCACAAGACGACATAACGATCTTTATTTGGAGGTTAAAGTTTGGACATAAAAAAAATCCATGTATACGAATTTCGCTAGAAGTGGTCATTTTTAATCCCCGTAGGAATACAGCATTACGGTTTTTTCATTCGTCTAATAGCGTAACACTTTCCTGGCAAACACTATTATATAAACTCCCTACCTAAAGACTCGCATTGCTTCAAAATGGAGGCGATCCTACTGAGACCCGATCGACAATTTCTAGATACCATATGTTTTAGGGTTAAACGAATTATTTCTCCGTGAAAGAACTCTTGTATTGAAACTGGTAATTTGCAGTATGCGTATAGTTTGGAAGTTTTACGTCGGAACAGTAAATGGCACTGTGACAGTAACATACATCAGTGTTGTCTTCATTTAACCTTAGATGTTACGAGGATTACATCAACCCTACAAAAGGATATACAAGACACAAGATACAAGAATTTGCATTTAACGTCGCATATTTTAAACAAGAAACCATTGGCAATGAAGTGCTATTCTTGCGCAAACATGAGGCATAATAACAATCACGTGCAGGTAATTACAAAGGCCAGTTAAATGACAAACCAACATCACAGAGGACATTTAACAAATAAAACAAGGTACACGAGCATAGCAGCACATACATAATAATACAGGGAATCATACAGGAGTTGTTGATTTGATCAATATTCTGGAGGTCAGTGAATATCTATATTTATCTTAAATCAATCGTTTAAGTGGCCAAATCGTACATTAGCACTCATGAAGAAGACATTTATAAAACAGATTTGGTTAATCTCGCTCAGTCTTCATTCTGTCTATATCCGGCCGACGTAGCTATATGAAGCTTATATCATTATAAGCCCGCTAGGGCTTCATCGTATATATGTATGTAACCGATTTGCGTTCATGCCGTTCGATCCTTATGTTTACATTCCAACTTTTAGTTATTATTGACCTTAATATAAAATATTTCCTTCTATTTTCGATATCGAAGTGTCTGTCGTCAGTGCAAACGAGATTCCGGGAACAGTCTGACGTCAGTGCAAACGAGATTCCGGGAACAGTCTAACGTCAGTGAAAACGAGATTCCGGGTACAGTCTAACGTCAGTGCAAACGAGATTCCGGGAACAGTCTGTCGTCAGTGCAAACGAGATTCCGGGTACAGTTTGACGTCAGTGCAAACGAGATTCCGGGAACAGTCTGACGTCACCAAAATGTTTGCTTCTGCTTCTGGTTTGGTGTACACGAATGTAGTGCGTTTCTCAATATTAGACTCGTTTTAAATAAGTTTTTTATTTATTTCAAAAACCAAAATGAAGCGTGATCTTTCCCCTGTTATTAACGTGGTTGATTAATTTGTACGAAATGGATTTTGGCGAAAAGATTAAGTATGTTATTAGACCAACGTTGACACAATACAAAATTATCTTTAAAAAATGCCGGTCATGAATGCTTTTTCAGCTCATCACAAATGTGTCTTGGATAGCTGAACAAACTTATAAGATCGGGCTTCGAGCAAAATTTTATATAACATTGCTTACAATGTAAAAGGCTTTTCTTTGGTTAGAGCATATAGGGAAGTTAATTGTGGTCTGAGGCCTTCTAACTGTCGTCCCTTGCTATTCGAGGCGGAAGGAGAAGTTGATAGAATTGCGTTTATAGCTCTTTGACCGCATTTTCTTCTGTAAGTGCTAATAGAGGAACTTGCAGTGGAAATGTAAATATAAATAGGTTCAGTGATGTATGTATCTTAGGTCCAACTTGCCAGATACAAAATTCTGCTGGTGGAGTATTAGTCGCTGCGGTTTACCGTGACCTTGATAGCCTCAGTTATCTCGTTTGAGTAGTGGAAAGGTTCGAAATAGTATCAACATTTTACTCATGACATTAGCAATTTTAGATTAACTAGTACACCGCTAATTTTTCATAGTATCCATATTTTACTCATTAGCAATTTTAAATTAACTAGTACACCGCTAAAGTTTTGAAAATTTATATTAATAAGTTTCTCTTCTGTCTCAACAATAGTTTAGATCCATTTAGATGATTTCGAATATTTTTTTCAACAGCATCACCTATAATCTTAAAAGGACGAAACAGCTGCTTTCTGCAATGTATATATACGTAATTTATTTCCAGAACCATTTTATAACCAGATTTTATAGATGCGATTACATGAGTGTGTTTAACTACATCTGTCTAACGAAGTTGATGGAAGACTATTTCAATAGACTAGGGGTTGTTCCAAAGGGAAATCACACTGTTTCACGTATAAGCTATCTTTTTATATAAATTTTCTTTATAGAGGCACGGTAGTCTAGTGGTAGGACGCCGGGCTCGTGACCGAAGGGTTGTGGGTTCGAGTCATGGCACGGCACTGTGACAAAAAAACAAGCCTACATTTTCATACAATCGTCGCCTCATTGTTTTATGACACTATGTGACAGTTTCAACGGATTCTGCAGGTTAATTGTGAAAGGGAGGAGCCCCCTTAAGCTGAGGAGAGTATGCGGTCTCAACCAAATCTCATATCCAAACCTATGTTGACTTCAGAGTCTGTCAGACGAAATACCTTGTTCATCGCGTCTTTATAGGATGTTGGTGGCAAACAAAGGTTCCCTGACATGACGTATTTTGATGCGTCTCAAATCTCGTTCAAGAAACATTTGATCCCGTGAACCTGATCTCAAGAAACTTCTTAGCCCTTAGAATGACCTTAAACATTCTTAAATTTCACTTCTTCCCAAATGTTCTAGAATTCGATTTTCTGCTATCCTTCTTCGGTTTCCGGTCATGAGGTAATTTCTTAATTTACATACTTTAACTATTTCTATTACCTATAAATATATACCCAAATATAGCCCTTAAATCAGATTTTGAGAAGTGAGAACATTCTTAAACTCAAGAACTGTCATGATCCTATGGTCAGCTTTCGAAACGAGTAAACCTTATCTATACAACTGCATACTATCGTACAAAGCTGGCTAATAAAGGTCGCCTGCAGAAGCCGGTTGTTTTTTATGCTTGGCATAGGAGATACATTCATTTGGATTATATGTCTCCGCAGACCTTGTTTTTCATTGTTGACATTGGGATAGTTTTGTAGCTAATTTACATAGTTCATAAGACCGCGATGATGGTTGAAGTCAAATGTCCGTCCGTCACGACATTAGAAGGGATGGTCTGTTCGTCCGCCATAAGACAAAGACTTACTGTCTGTGCTGACGTCCCCAAACAAGACGTAATGTTTAATACCTACAACAAAAATGAAAAGGTTAATATCCAAATTATTAATAAATGTAAACTAATTTACAATAATTATGAAACAGATTCAGCTATGAGCTATATTAAGCACTGTCGTTGACCCGGACAGAAGGCGGGAATTCTGAAAAGAACTGTTGAGGTTTGTCACAACACAAGAGATGATAGTCTGTTCTTCCGTCATTAGACAAAGAGTTGGTGTCTGTCCTGACGTCCCCAAAGAAGACGTAATGTTTAAAACGTGCAACAAAAAAAAGATGAAGATTTATAATCGGTTTCTATAGATTGCATGCTATCTAGTCGTTAGTTTTGTAGGATACATAAAACTTGCACGCATGAGTTATGGAATCCAGCCCCCTAAGAAACCGTTATATACTTATTATAGATGATTATTATTCATTGGAAATATATATCGTCTACACCTCGATACAAGGGGGGACTACAAGTGTTTACCGAGACGAAGAGTTCATGTAAAGTTGTTATCATATATCGTTAAATGTCGGATCAGCTAAAATTATATCAAGTACAATATACTGTATACATAGACAGGCAAGTGTATCTGTGGATGAAATGATAAAGACAAACACAGATAGGGAGACAAAGATATTATTCATTCTAGATGAATATCCTGTACGATCCCCCGATGACAAAAATAGATTTTAATTTCGACCGTTGCGATCGAGAGGGTTCGAGAGTAGAATAGTTTATGTAACGTTATTTGATTGTTTGTCCTAGCTGTTACTGTAAATATACGTTTACAGATAAAAATGACTTTTGTGCGTGCTCTAGACACATATGTCCTCAAAGTGGATCCGAAGAAAAATAATAAAACCTGCTGTCTACTGCGACGATGCCCACAATGGCTGATGGGGGAGGGGGGTCTTTTTTATTATTGCAAATGCCTCCAGTAACATGCGTCGCTCTGTGTATATTTCCTGTAAAAGCCGTTTCGATGTTTCCCCTTCACAATTCACCAGCACCGAGTTAATTATCTAACCCATCAGTGTCGATTTAAGTTTTATTACACCGTCCTTATGTGTTTGATAATGACACCACATTTATCAAACAAATTCATTGTCACCTCGTTGGGAAACAAAATGTGTTTAATTGGACAATCTTGTTTAATGGAAATCGATCTGCACGTTAAAAATCGATATATGTGCGTGGTACGTGTTTTAACATTGTTTAACACGAATAAATGTCCTCAAAAGTCAAAACCATCTAGGATTAAAGGTTAATAACACAATTATCATGATTACCTGCCCGTATCTAGTCGTTCGTCTATGCCCAGTTCAATCTTTATAAGAAATATGCGGGTGGTCGCACCAAGCCTGCGGAACTGGTCAAAGCATTTATTGTACGTTCTAATGGTGACCGAGTTCAAAACATGCGATATTCATGTGTTGCTTTAATACGTTGATATTTTATCGAACTTTTCCTTTGTAGATAATACCCCCGCCGACCTTGAAATGACGGACGAGTCTGATGGCGGTGCGTCACTGTCGCTTTCACAGTCAGGGCCGCTTATGTCCCGAGACTCACTGATCGAGGAAGGAGATACGGACGACGTAGACGAAATCGACAATGAAGTTACATCCGGTAATGGCGGTGACTTCCGCCGGAAGTCAATGCCAGCAATCATGAGACGCCTTAGTAGCATACAAAGCACAATCCGGACACATATCCGAATTCAGAATTTCTTATTGAAATACATCCTTTTCTTCTTCAATTTCCTATCTTGGGTAAGAATTCTGAGTAATAATCGGTGGTTAAAATTTGGTGTTCATTATTTTCATATTTTTTCTTTATTTTTTTAGGACATTTGGCTCATACCGAGCACTTTTCTAAGTCGATTTCGTATACTTTACATTCATTTACCACTAATGTTACATAACAATGGATCGTGCAATACTTCATAACAATCACGTGATTATATAATATGGCATTACTAATGTAGAAAATATTTATTTACAAGCATTGATTATTGACAAAAATACGTTCGACGTTTGATATCACAAAGCCTGATAGAAGCTAGAAATTATTTTATTGTCTTTATGATTTGTACCGTATACCCTTTATGTACAGGCTGACACAAAAAATTGAACACCAAACTAGAACTTTACTGTAAGTTTTAATTTAACATTAAAATGGCATTGTGTGAGAAAAAACTTAATCAAAAGAATCGCACGGTAGCGAAACGGTCAAATTGGCCTGTTTTTAAGTCGAGTGTTTCTCCTCTGGTACCTTTAAAGGACAGGTATCAGCAGGTTTTTTTATTATACTTGAAGTCAATCAAATAAGTAACTGGGTGCCTACGATTTTGTCATGTCATAATCCAGGGCAATAGAAAGTGTAAGTGCGGGGAACCATTTGAATTTCGGGGTTTTACAAACGTTTATTGTTTCAGCTCTTGTCACTCTTACTCATGCTGGGTAATACATGCATACGTTGGTGTAGATACATAGTACGCTGATGTAGGTATAACGTGCGGCAATATGGAGTCTATTGCAGACATCGCGTGAGCAAATGTATCCTTCATGTTTGCTTTGTTGACATATTTTCTCCTATGTAGACATTCTTGTTCGCTATGTTTACTTGGTGCGCTATATATGCAAGACCACACACTTGTGTTTTTCTAACGTATCAGGAAGCACGAGTTTATTGCGCGGACGAGTGAATATATACGTCCGCGCAATAAATGAGTGCTTTCTGATTCGTTAGAAAAACACAAGTGTGTGGTCTTGCTTTCATCACATTCCTTCCGTATTTGGTAGAGATCGATACAAAGATTTTATAAGCTTTGATATATTTTTGCAAATACCGGGAACTTTTCAGTTCGCCATGACAAGGGGATTCCCATAAAAAGTAGTACCGGCTAGTATGGTGATACAACATCTTCTGTGATACAAACCGACAGAAAACATCAACAGAAAATTGTTGTATTACTTTTGTTAGATTACAGAGGTATGCGATAAATTGGCATATTTTCGCTAATGTAGACATACTGTTTGCTATATTGAAATATTTTCACTAAAGTAGATAGTGTTGTTCGCTTTGTAGACATATTGTTCACGATATTGATTTATTTTCGCTATGTAGAGATCATTGTTCGCTATGTTGACATATTTTCGATATTGTAGACATATTGAAATAGTTTCGCTGATAAAAACATTATTGTTTGCTATGTGACATATTTTTCGCTATGTTGACATCTTCTCGTTTAAGTAGAAATATTGTGCGCTGTGTTGACATATTTCCGCTAATGTTGACATATTGTCCGCTAAAGCTCATACAGACATTTATTGCGCTATTAGTGGCATCGAGTTCGTTGAAGTAGGAATACATGCTAACTTGTATAAAAACACGATGCTTTTAACTTTCATAAATTGCGAACTATTATTATTTACGTAAATAAGGAAACAAAAATGCTCAAATTGTATCATGTTTACTATACTAAGTAGCCAGAAATACTTGGAATAACTATACCATCGGACAGTAAAGACAGAAGTATATAATGGAGACACGATAGTCTAGTGGTAGGACGCTGGGCTCGTGACCGAAGGGTTGCGGGTTCGAGTCACGGCACGGCACTGTGTTGTATCTTTGAGCAAGATACTTTACTCCGCTTGAGTACGTGGTTGGGCAGTGCTAGAATTGTAGAATGGTAGCTGTGAGCGCCGAAATGGCAGCACTGGCTGTTTGCTCCTTAGGGAGTTGAGAAAGATATTGGCTGGTTACAAAGGCCCTATAACCACAGATAAGAATTTGTAAACCGTTTTAAGACGACCTACGAACTAGATTGTGATAAAGCGGTATATAAGAACCTCGAATTATTATTATTATTTTTATTATTATATTACTTTCAGTAGTATACAAATTATATGATACAAAGATCAGTATCGTATCGCATTGTTAACACAATAAGACTCCCCAATAATGGAGTCGGTGCAATATCCAACACCATGTGTGTTTCCCTCCGCTACAGTAGCGGTCAGAGAGACGTCTGTTACGGCACGATTTCTCACCCCGACACGATTTCTCACCCGGGTGAGTGCCGTAACAGACGTCAGTGTCACAAAGGACGCTAAAATCGTTAAAGGACATTATCGGTCATCAGTGGACGGTATCTCACCATACGGGGGATGGACTTGATTTAAAGTACAATACGGCACGGCGCTGAGTGACCACTAGTCGCCATAACATTCGCGCAACCAGGAGTGATTCGTGTTAAATAGGCCAAAGATAAATAACCTGTGTTAACGTGACTATCTTTTGTATATTTGTATATTTCTCTCGAAATAGAATTTCCATAGAAATCCAAAAGGCATGTAAACAAATTCTGCACTTTGTTTTTATTTTTTATTGTGTTATTTAAATTTAAATTATTTTGCACCGACCATGCTGAATTGTTTGATTGTCCGGTAGCACTGCCATTTTACATGAGTTACTTCCCCTTTTTGAAGATTGGGCATGCAGAACGTCTTTTGTTAACCTGAAAACAACATCAAAACTTTTAAAACGCTATTATCAACAATTTAATGAAGTTCATGCGCACGCTTTCAACCCGGGAATTATACTCGAAAACGAGGTTTCGCAGTACTTGTGTAACAGGAGCGAGAGCAGTATGCTTCCACCGGGGATCGAACCCGCGGTCACATACTTCCTAGTCGGACGCTCTACCACTGAGCTAAAGGGAAATACCCTCGAGCTCAAAGCTAGAAGGCGACCGTAATCCTGTGTACAGTTCGGAAACATCTTTATAGGTTCTCTAATTATCAACATTTATCTAATGCATGGTAATGTAGAAATAATGATATAATATGCATAGTATCTTATAGGAACGAATACCTATATACAGAACCCTCTCATCCTCCGATAAAATGATTAGTTATCACAGCTTCTCAGAAATCGATTTCCGGGTTAAAGCTCGCGCATGCTCATGACGATACCTTCAATGTCACAGCGTTATGTGTTTATTGACGTAATCAAATAATCGTGGAGAATGTCACACATTTTTGGGTTCTCTAACCCTATTTCAGAGTGAATCTAACTGCAGCAAAACAGAAACATCTTGGCAACGTGCCAAACAGACTTCAAGCTGACACAAAGTCTACCGCGGCATTTGGTTTTTTTGGACACTAAATTTGAATTATGAGTTTAATATCTTTGGCGCAGTAACACGTATTCTTCCTACCTGGGCTATCGACGTTTGACAAACTACCCATGTTGTGTTTGGCGCCGACATTTAGGTTGTTCGCACAGAGGGTTGCTCTGGAAGGACAGCATTGCATTTATCATAACCTTATAAAATTCAAAGTCATTCCAACGTTTGCACTCTGCATTTAAAACATCTGATGACGCAATATTAGTCACAGTCATTTAAAATGGCGGAACCACATTTTTTTTGTAGCATACTTTTTAAGCAAATGGTTGCTCAGTCGTTAACGACCAAGGGTTTGCTTTTCTTCTTCGAATACGCCTGGACAAAGATACCTTTTAAAGTCTAAGTTTTTTGAAATAGTGAAAGTTTTGTTTAGACTGGTAGTAGAATGCGTAGAATGTCGTTGGCACGATAGATTTTTTTCCAAACAAAAACATATTTTACGCAAAATTTGAAATATGCAAAATATTTACAAGGCAAATAAATATCAAGTATAAAGTGGTCCGCACATAAAATATGTTGTACAAAATAATATACCACACAAAAAAGACTGCAAAATGTATACATCGCAAAAATAAACCCGCATAATTAAGATCACGTAAATAAATACCACAAACAGATATACCACACAAAAGGTATTGCAAAAGATGCATCAAGTAAAGCGATCTAACTAAATAGATGAAGTTATCATAGACAGTTTCAGACTTGCCCGCCCCCAGGGGATATTTACATCCATATTTGTAAAGGGAGAACCAACATATGCCATACTCGATATACGAATTTCACAGAGTCGAGTGTACTTCTTTGTGGTTTCCATGCATAATCCAAATATTTGAAAAGTTCAAAAGATTTCCCTATCGATTTGACCGCATACAATCGTGTTTTTATACTTTCTGTTCTTTTTAATAGCTGTGCGGTGTCTTTTTTATAACAAACTAAAACATGTTAATTACTGTTTAACACTAAAATATTCCTATGTGGAAACTGTTTTATAGGCACGCGCTTTTATATCAAGTTAAGAAATTCCTGCAGACATGCTATTGTGCTATTTCATAACTTCAACACTGGGACATCATCTATTGCAGGGTGCAAGCTACCTATCCGGGCCGATCTGGATTGGATTAGAGGCCAGTGTTTCTTGGTTAGGGGGTTTGGGGGCGAAGCCGGTGTGAACGTTCAATGGGTAAAAAAACGATAATAAGCCCCCGCCATATAACTAGTTGGAGGGCGATTGGACTGGTAACGAAGGATCGAACTATGTCTGTCTTTGTAGAAGATCAGTGGCTTAATAACCGAAAATCGAACCCCGGCCGTCTGTATTGTAGACAAGTGTTGCTTAACTTCAGGACCGACCCTTTTTCTAATGTCTTTCGTTAACGGTATTTGTCTTTGGCGTCAATCAAAGTAGGAGACTAAATGCTGGATCTTAGTTATTTCTTTAACCTTTTAAATCACAGAAATTTCCTATATAACAATATTAAATCACTGCCGAATATAATTCAATTACAGAATTGAATGGTTCCAAATTTGTATTGGTAATGTAATATGTAATGGTAATGTAATATGTAATGTAATATGTAA